GAATTGGCCATTCTACTGCCAGGAGATTTCTGTGTAACTTCACTAATTGGCTAAAAATATGGTATTTGAAAATGCGGTATTCAGATGGGGTTTTGTCCACCATTGTCAAGATTGTAATCTTAAAAATCATATACCGGTCATTGATAATTTAGTTTATCCTGAGGCAGTTGACTTGCAGAGGCACAGTCTACAAAGCCTCGGATGTTGCCACTCAATGGTTTACATTTTGGGACACCTCTTAAGTTGTTCGTAGCACTGCAGTTCAAAGTGTTAATATGTAGAGGGACTTCTAGATTTTATACATAATGCAGTAGAACCTTGAAGTATATTTAAGCTTTTTTGTTTAGCTTGAACACTTGGCAAGAAAAATGTGAGTTCCTTTCTGAAATAGAATGGTACGTTACCACTTTAAGTTTTAAAAAGTGATAAACATTCAGATGTATCTCAGTTTTATTTTTATTCTAAACATCGTGAATGGGAAGCCATTGTCATAAACTTTGGCCATTTTTGCTCTGTAGACATGCCTCTTTAAGTTATAAGGTGAATCAAACAATATGTGATACAGTATTAGGATATAATAAGCTTTGCTTTTATAGTACAGTTAAAATACAAAATTCCTTTTTTTGGCACCATCTTAATTAAAATTTTTGATTTTTACTAGTTGTGTTGCTTTGCAAAAAACTTAAATGTTTGGCTGCATTGCTAATATTTGTAAGTGTAAGTTGCTTCAAGGTTGTGCTGATGAGTAGATAGGACGTAGTGATTAGTGATCGAAAGGGAGGGTATTTATTATACAAACTGTGAACTGCAATGACATCCTTAGTTTTGGATGATGTGTATTCTTGTTTTTCTTTGCAGCATTTTAATGAAGATTGCTTTGAAGTGTTTACGCAGTAGCACATTTACTATAAAATTTAGTTTAGCACAGTGGACAAAAGTAGTTAATAACTTAAAATCAGTCTCTAATTTATACATCTAAAGTCTAGCATTCCTGTGTGCACACAGTAAATAATGGGTAGCCTGGGCTCTGTGTTGCTTTCCGATATTTTTATCCAAGGTTGTCAGCTTCTTATTGCTGTGTTGGTTGTGCTAAACTTTGAACCTTATTTCTTTTATTAAAAATCAGTACACTTTCTATAATTTAGTAAGATACTGGCCATAATGTTCCATTGTTATAACTTTAATTTTCACTCTGGGTTTACAGTGGCTGGTCTGTATAAATAATTTACACAAAGATGACTGAATGCTAATACCAGTTGCACTTAAATGAACATGCCCATTCTCAGTAGCTGATGCAGTAATATATTCAGTTTATCTATGCATTGCTGGATCTTGATATAAGATGGAAACAGTGTTTCTTATCTAAAGTTTTGATTATCAGCAAGTTGAATGGACACTTTAGTTATTTAAATAAAGATTTTTGACCAAAATCCAGAAAATGGTATGAGAGAAAAATAAATTCCAGCTAGTTTAATAGATTTTTAAATGCCAATCCAATTTTAGCCTCTTAGAGAGTGCTAACTAGCTGGTAACGTTTACTTTTAATTCCTTGTTAAAATGAGGCAATAATTTGCAAGATTTTTGTATATAAGTGTAAATTCTTCATATCTTTTTAGATCTAATTCAATATTTTCTGACTACTTCTGCCATGTATAATACCATTTTTGTGCATGCTTGATGTGACATTCATAAATTGTACCACTATGACTTTATCCATGTAAAATAGCTATTTATTGAATTTTCTTTTAAAAGCTGGATTTATTGTTTTTTCTCTCTGTTTAAACATCTTAACAGAATTTGTTACTGTTTATTAAAAGAATTGCGTTTGAAAGCATGAAAATAACTGATTTATAATCATATGAAGAAATAATAATGCCTTTATTATCAAGTGTTAAGCACAATTCTTATAACAAACTGTGATAAATTCTTTGATTTTTTTCCTTTGCCGCATTATTTTTGTATGAACAAACCAAAAATTCATGGTGAGCAGTTGCAGTGTTGGCTGATATATCTTCAATGTACAGGGAATTTGAAGAGGACAGTGGATTCATTTAGAAGTGTAACTGGTGCTGTGATTATAGCAATACTTTACTTTTGTTAGTTGTACTTCATCTTTTTTACGCTAGCTTTTTAAATGTTTAGTTTTCCTCTTGTCATGGTCAACTGCTGAATTTACTTGAAGGATGTAGAATACTGTTTAAATAATACTAAAATCTGTACAATTAGGTCAAAGAATTGTGCAATTGTTTCCTTTTTAATTTTTAAAATCTAGGGTCATAAATATTTGAGAACGCCAGATCTGATAGAGCATAGTGATACTATTTAATTTAACCAAAGTCTCTAGTGAATATTTCAACTTTGAATGTAAACTAACAAATAAACCTGACCACCAAGGAGATTGTTTGCCCAGAGTTTCAAAGCACATTGTCTACAAATGGGAACTGAAATAATTTATAAAAATATTGACATTACTATGTTTTTTAAAAAGTTCCTAATTTTTTCACTAAAAGGAGGAAACTATTAGTTTTATTGTTAAATATGGTAGATATTATTCCTCTTAGATGACCAGTGATTCCAATTGTCCCAGTTTGAAATAAGTACCCTGTGAGTATGAGATAAATTAGTGACAATCAGAACAAGTTTTAGTATCAGATGTTCAAGAGGAAGTTGCTATTGTTGCATTGATTTTAATATTTGTACATAAACACTGATTTTTTTGAGCATTATTTTGTATTTGTTGTACTTTAATACCTGGTGTACAGTTCCAGAAATAAAAATCTGGAAATCTTTTTTTTCTTGGTTTGTGTGAGTATTTGCCAAAAATAGACTTTATTTAATGAATCTTAAGCTATACCAAATAGCTAATATTACACCCGTTAAATTGGTTTTACATGCAGTAAATAAGACATATGATACATACGTAATAAAGGTGGTAGATAAGTTTTCTTTAAATCCTCTATAGTAGCTTTCCATCTATAATAAAATTCTAACCATCTTAAAGTAAGGATTATACTTCCGGTTTAATTCAGGAAGCATTTGTTGAATGTTATGTTTCAAACACTGTTCTAAGCAACTGGGTCTGTTAGGAAAACATGATATCTGAAACTTGATCAAGTATTATTTGACAGACTATGTTCAACTAGTCTTCCTTATCTATGCTATTCATAGTTTCATTGAACCTACCTAGTCACATCGTTCCTAAACCTTCATCGTTTCAAGCTAAAGATCTTGCCTTAGCCTAATTTCACAAGTTTGTCCCTATATTTCATTTTCTGTGACCAGAACTTTATCTAGTTCCATTCTTAATATGCAGTGATCAGACTGCACATAATATCCAAATTCTGTACAAGGCCAAGAAGGGGATAGAATGAAAGCAAAAACTTTCACTCCTCTGCTTTTGGTTACTTGTCTACAACCATATTCCTTCATTCTCAGACACCAAAGGGCCTAGTGTGGGGGGGGCTTGTGTGGTGGTCACATGCAGAGAAGCACCTCCAGAGGGGGGACAAGCACAGTATTTTAATACAGCCAAGGCAGCAGCCAAGTGCCCCATAAGAGCTACATAGTAACTTCAGGCTTTGAGGGAGGAAGAAGCCTTGTGGAAGCACAATAATCTCTAGTGACTTCTAGGCTACCAGAAGTCTTTTTGACCATAATTTCCATCAATAGTGTGCTTTTTGAGCCTGCTGGTGCTAAGTGCTACAGAGAAAAATAGGGAAGTGGAATGGAGAGTACTGGGGTGGGAGCCAGGGACTGCAATTTCATTGCGGTGATTAGGCAAGCCTCTTCTCTGAGGTGACAGGAAAGGGGAGAACAAACTATGTGGCCATCTGGAGGAAGATCTTTGCAGGCAGAAGGAACAAGTGCAGAAGCCCTGAAGTGGAACGTGCCTGGCAGGTTCAGGGTGTGGCCAGGGGGCAGGTGTGGCTGGGATGGAATGAGCAAGGTGACAACCAGCAGAGCAGATCTGAGGTAAAGAGCAGCTAGAGCAGCTAGATCACGTATGTGAAGGACTTCATTTGCTCCAGGACAGGAGGAGGATTTTGAGCAGGGGCATGTCAAGATCTGACTTTAACTTTAAAAGAATCCCTCTTGGTGATGTATTCTGTAAGCAGGGCAGGTATGGAAAGAGGAAAGACAATTAGGAGGCTACTGAAATTGCAATAAACTAGGGGAGTAAAGCTGGTGGCACAGCAGTGAAGGTGGTCAGAATCTGGTTATACAGGTTCCATGAAGATTTCAGGGGCCCAATAAATAACACCCTCCTTCCTATCCAAGTTTAGAACTGAGAATTGGAGCAGGAGTCAGGTCAATGGAGATCAAAGTAACTATTGCTAATAAAATTCTGGGGAAGATGGCTTCAGAGCTCTGGCCAGGTTGGCTTGCTAATACTCCACCTCTGAAGCAGACTCACTCTGGCACTGGCTGGGCTGGCTACCGGCTGCTCCCTGCACAAGGCAGAGAACTGCCCAGGACACATTCTTTCTGCTGGCAGGCAGAGTCTACAGAGAAGGAACTAGAAGGGTGTGGGCCATTGGTGCCTAGTTCTCCAAACATACTCTGAGAAAGTCACTTCCTCCACTGGGGGGAGAGAGAGCGGCTATGAGCATTACAAATGGAAGCCCTCCACATAAAACCTGAGACATGGGGAATAGGTATTCCTCCCACTGACACTATCTTTTAACTGTATTCCCACGTGAAAACGATCTCTTGCTCTCTTTTTTTTTTTTTAACCTTTTTTGGTGTGGAAATGTTCAAAGAGTAAATAGTATAAGGACCTCACATTTTCCTCTTACCCAGCTAAAACAACCTTTAAATTGTACATACACACACTGGTTTACTCATAGCAACACAATAGATATTTTTTACTTGATTCTGTAAAAATAAAGTTTTTACATAAGTTTGTAGACATCAGCAGTACTACAAAAATTACTGGTGCTTGGCTAAAATTTTACAAACCACCACAGAGCTGTACAAAATAAACAAAAGAAAAATTGGAATTATAAGTTCAGGTAGTAGGTTTTAATTTAATAAGCTATTGTGTATTTAGGTGAAGCCCAATTAAAATTTGAATTGCATTACAAATTTGAAATTGTAATGAAGCAAATAGCTTTTATCATGAAATTGGAACATAATATCAACAAAAACAAAAAATTCCTATTCCAATTAGGTCTCAAAATATTTGTTCTACAGGTGGAACTCAGAGAACTGATTAACAAAAAACATTGAGATAACTGAGTAGAAAACCTAATTTCTAATTCAGAGTTAGCTGACAATTGTGTAGTAGTTTGAAAAAAACTCTTCTCCTTGGTTGATGTCCCTAAGTGCAACAAGAACAACACATCGAAGCGGGCTGAAAACAAAAAAATATACAAAAGGTAAGAATATTGACAGATAAAAGCTCATATTTTTAATATAATCAGTATGGGTTTTATAGATGTAACTTTCTCTCTACTCAGGTTCTGTACATTTTAGTTCATACATTTGATTTCTATGAGGAAATAGTTCTTATCCCTGATGCAGGTACTCTAGAGAAGAGTATGTCTATATTGTTAAAAAAGACCACAAATCAATAGGTTTATACAATTGACTATCTCTTTGGAAAACTCTGTTTCTATTTTTAGGCCCCCAAAACTGGTATCACAAAAAGGATTTTAAAATGACATTATAGTTTAACATTTTTTTATTAATTTGTATCTTGTATTCTAAAAAATGGAAACATTACTTAAAATTAGTTGGAATTAAAAAAAATACTTTTTCTGGACACAGTAAGACACTGTTATATATACACCTTTAAAGTTCTAATGACATCATACCCCAGAATGCATAGCTAAAAAAACCTAATTGTTCTAACACACACATGTAGAGACACAAGTTATCAAGTTTTAAGTACAGTGAATAGTCCAAGTTTTAAAAATCATTCATCTTAAAAGGATAATTTAATAGGTCCTATGCAAAATAAGGTGTGCTAGCAACTCAGTGAAAAGATTATATATTCCTACAGCATTGTTAACAAAGAACTCGCTCTCCAGAATTACTTATATTTAAAAATTGTTATTTGAGTATTCTCAGTAGACTTTCCACTTAATAAGCAGAAAATAAATGTTACATTAAAATATGTATCTTCTGGATATAGTCCTTTTTATCACTATTAGGTTTCCGAACCAAATAGTGAAATGGGCAAAAGAAACAGTGTAATTTGGCCTCTTTCTTCAATTGGGTGCTTTCTTGTGAGGTAGAGAACATGATACTTTAAATGATTAAAGTAAAAATGTATTTGAAAATTTTGTGGGTAGGAAAAACAACAGAATCATAAGAAAAAAACTTTAAGGTCAATACTTGTAAAGTATTACATAGAATAACAATGGATAATAGTAAGCAGAATAATCTAAGTTAAAGGAAAATTTTAAATTTCAAATATTTATATTTAACACATTAAGGTGTGATGAACATAAAAAATCTAAGTTACCTATAATTTTTCACTAAAAATATCTTACCCCAAATTCTCTATAGCTTTTTCTTAGAAAATATTTTTTTAAGTACCACATAAGATAGGAAATTCTCTTTTAGAAGACTAACCTTTGTTTGTCATAGCTGTAGGCAATGTTTGGAAGATACTGCTTCAGTTCTATAGGGAAAATGGCAGGCACATCAAATTCCTGATAACAGACATTAGCTGCTCTGTCTAGGAACAAGCACAAAATTTTTAGAAAAAGAACCATGATACAAGGTCATGGAAAACAGTATTGAATTATGACACTTAACATATGGTTTTCTAAACTATTGGAACATGCTCAAAATAATTACTACTATGTTCCAGGCACTGTGAGAATTTTTTTTAAATGGGTCATTGGGAATGAAACTGTTAGATTTTATATATTTACATATATTTTTATATATATAGTAAATAACAAATAATATGTAAAACAGAATATCTAAAAAGTAAATAAAACATTTACATAGAACATAATAAACATATGTTTATATTATATACAAACATATATAATAAACAGTATGTTTTATTGTTTACTTTTTATATACCAGGAAATAGAGGCTCAGAAAGGTTAAAGGTTAAATAAAAGAGACAGGCTTGGAGTTCAAATCTCCCTAACAAAGCCTATGCTAAATGTAGCCAAATGATCAAACTTTTACCTGTGGGAAAGTCAAATCCTAAAGAAGGTAAGTGACTCACAAACTTAGCAATAGAAAGAGGATACCAGTCTAGCGATTAATCTATAAGGCTATTTTGAGGCACTGACAAAATAATCTCTAAATTAACTAAAACGCTATTTAAAAAACGCTAAAATAATAATGATCGAAAGGGCAGTTATCAATTGCCTATACTCACTGCAAAATCAGAACAAAAATAGTAACTTAAAGAATTCCAAATAATGTCTATCATTATTTCCCCAAATTCTCTCTCTGTTTTCTTCCCTCCAAAAGTTATAGTTGCTTAAGGACTTTGAATAGCTGAGATGAACACGCGATTGCCTTTGGCACTCAGTTATCTGGCAAAGGAGTAGAATTAACCATTGTTATATCTCATCTCACAGCTCCATGATGCTTACTTACCATTTGAACAATTGTTGACATACTGTCCTACAGCCAGGGGATTATGAATTTCTGATGTTAGCCATGTACTATCACTCATTTTTAAAGGGCCAAGTCGATCCCTCCCATTGCAAGATCTGAAACAGGTGAAAATATTAGCTAAGGGGTTATTCTTCTGTATCTTAAAATAGAATTCAAAAATACAAAATTTACCCTAGAATTAAACAAGTGCAATTTCTCTTAAAAAAAAAACCTTGTCTCAACAACGGGATAACCAAGTTGTTAATAGAAGCTATCTAAATAGATTTTTATTTAAAGTACAAATGCTGTTGGTCATAATCATTGTTGTAAATGTGGTTCTGTCTCCTATACTTAAATTTGAACATGGGCATCACTTACCTGTACACAACTTTTGATATTCCTTTGTCATTTCCATCAATGAGTACCCCATCCAGGCATCTAAAAATAAATGGATTTCCAATGGACTGGAAAAAGATTGGCTCATACTTCTGATATACTGTACCTATTATACAATAAGAGAAGACATTATAGCAACATGGAAAAATCATAAACAGTGTGGTAAGAACATTTCTCTGAAACATAATCACATTCTCTTTGGTTACTTTCCCCCTGTAAAGAGTGAATGTCCATTAGCAGAGCATAGAACCAACTTGTGCACACAGCAGAATAAAAAAAAATACCTATCTTGGTTAATGAAAATATGAACATCACATTTTAGGTTCGGTTTTACAAAATCACATATTTTTTTAAGTAGAGTGTGATTTGACAGCTAAAGAGTCTCTAAAAAATGTATTTTGCTAATAATTTAATAATGTAGACATATATGGGCACAGATGAGTCTGACATTCAGGTTGTTTTTGTTTTTCCTTTTTCTGGCAAAGGAGAAAAGGAGAAAATATTTACCAGGTGCTTCCTATGTGCCGGGCACGTTCATCTATTTATTAAATTTATTTTAGTATTAATTTGTTTGGTTGGCTTGTTCTATTTAATCTTTATAGAGTTAGGTTAGTTGTACAGCAGGAAACTCAGACTTTCTTGCTTGGGGATATAAAATTAGAAAATGGCAGAATGACTTTTTAAAAACATGGTCTATCCAACTCAAATATTCACATACACACTTTCCACTATACCAAATAACATAAGTTTAACAAATAACATTCTATTGAGCATTCTAGTCAATGATCTTTTTTTGCAAAGAAGTTGCCTTACTAGTGTAGAAATGGCAGGAACATCTTTATTCAGTGATTTATGATTTAAACTCTTTTATGTTTTGACCCATATCATTTTTATCTTTAGTCATCAACTAAGCCAAAGTGGCTTATTCTCTAGTGCTTTCTAAGTAATTTGTACAAGTGGACTATACAATGTTCTAAACATTGGCTAGAAACATTTCCTTAAAAGTACATTTATTCTATCACATACTCCATGATACTTTCTAACATAATTTACAAAGAGTTCATTCCCAAATTAGAACTTTAAAGATCTATGGAAACCTGAGTTTCCAATTCAACCCTTTAAGGACTACAGGGCTAGGCATTTTATTGAGCTTATATTAATCAGTATGCAAGAAACTTGGCAAAGTACTAATTGTGCTGTTACCAGGATACATAGATACAACCGCGCCTTTTGGTACCAATCCTTTAGTAACGAAGACACCTTTTCCAGCAGAAATCAAAGAGCTAGTTGCTCGAGCAACGCTAAAACCCAATGTCTTATAAAGAATTTCTTCTGGTTTTAAGATATTTTGCTGTTGATGTCTGTTTTCAAGCAGTTTCACCCTTTGATGTTCAAGTGCCAGAAGGTCTTGATATTTTGATTTAACAGGTTCTGGAAGCAGAGTCAAGATTTCTGATTGTTTATCAAAATCATTTAAAAATAGAGCCTGGAAAACTTTCAGTAATGTTCCTAGGACATCTTCATCTGAGATAACTTTGTCTTTAGATTCCTCTGGAACATATCGGAGGGTCCTGAAAATGGGAAAAGTTTCTATTCACTACCTTTCAACTGATAAGAGCCACACTATCTTCATGCTTTCTGGGTTACTGCCCTTAATGAACTGTAAGATTATTCTGATGTGTTTGAAAAACATAAAGCTCAAGAAGTTCAGAAAAGAATTGTTTGGGGTAGCTCTAGTTACCTAACTCCCAACACTACCCACACAAGTAGCCAGTATTTATGAAAGGCCCATTCTGTACCAAATGCTTTTGGGTCCTTTCATTATCCCATTTTTGCAGACAAGGAAATAGGCTTGGAGGTGTTAGGGAACTTGCCCAAGGTCCAAAAGCCAGCAAGTGGGAGAGCCAGAAGCAGAACTGTAGCAGCTCTCTCCCCAGCTACACCCAACAATCACTTGAGTGTTATCCCATGAGAACCTTCATATTCAATGGCTTTCTTTACAGGCATGTAGTTTCAAAGACAAATTTTACATATACTTTGTCACATTCTCTCCAGGAGTACCACCTTCTTTAATGACTGCATCACTTATTTCCACAACTTTAGTACATAATTTCCAATTGTACTAACTGTATTATTTTTACTCTAGAACAAAAGGGGAGCAATTTCCACCTCACAATTCTACAGTAACGATGCACCTGCATTCATGTCTCCCTCGTATGAAACTTCGGGAAATCTCTTTGGCTTCCCAATTTTTCTTAACTGCTCTTCCAGGAGGCCTAGTCTGCCTATGTGGTGAGCACTGTGTTGACTCCTTGCAGATCACCAGCACACACCCTTAATAATGCCGACAGCGTCACTGTCCAGGGCGACCTACTCAGCTAACGTACTCAAAACCCAAAACCCGACGAACTTTTAGTCGTTTTTTGCGCGTTTTATGCTTTAGGTACTCCAAGGTATTCTCACAGTCGAGCTGGGTTGCTTTCACCACATAAATTATTTGCATGGAGCTGTGAAAATAAACCTTCCTTTGGCTTTTCTGAGGAACTTCAAGTCCTAACTATGCCTGGGCGGAGAAAAGGCCACGCACTCTCACGAGGTAAGAGTAGTCTCCTTTTTTTTAAAAAAAGATGATTTTTATTAAATCAAGTCATTGCACTTGGTCATTTTATTGCTACAGCAAAACAAGGCCATTAAATTATAATACTTCTCATTTTTTATTTAAATGATTGTCTCATTCTGCTCATACATTTCAAGTTTAAATGCACGCATAAAATGTTTATCAAAAAATCTAGAAAGCACTTGGATTTTTTTCTGTGATTACAATAAGGAGCATAAAATAGAGAATTGTCTATTACACAAGGCCTATTCTCTCTTTACATCTTCAGACTTAAATTCTTTAAAGAGGTAACAGCTTTACAATAAAATGGAAGCTTAGCGGTCACACAAAAATTGAAATACAATTAGGAAATTAAGTAATATTGTGTGTTTCAAAGGATAGGAAACCTGAACTAAATAATTTGGCAATGACAGATTCCATGCTGTTCACCTTTGGTCTGTTATTTATACTCGCATGTAGAAAAAAATTACCCTTAAATAAAAGCTATTATTACGTATCATTTTGTGATATGAACTTCAGAAACAAATTAATAAAAGTTCCCATATCAAGAGCAAACAGTAAATTGCTAGAATAAAGGATTTTTTCCTTTTAAGTTCAAGTTCATTTGGTTTTATTTTCTTTACTATTTTGTCAAGGGCAGTAGTCTTTTTCTTTTAAAGTTTCTATTTTTTGCCCAGATACAAGAGCCCCAGCCCGTGCGACCCCTGAGAGGAACAAACGCCACGATCCGCCTGCAACCCCGACCTTGCAGGCCTACCAGCGCGGAGGACACTGGGAGAGGCCGCAGGCCCCGCCCACCTAAGGTCCGAGCCCGCTTCAGGCCCACGGCCGGCCGCCGCCGGACCCGCCTCTGGCCCCGCCCACCGCGGCCCCAGCCGCCGCTAGCCCGCCAGCCTCAAACCCGGACGCGGCCTCAGACCCCGCCCGCCTCGACCCGCCTACCCTAGACCCCACCCACACAGGGCCCGCCTCCTCAGGCCCCTCGGCCGCCTCGGGGCACACCCGCCCGCAGGTGGCTCCGCGGTTCCGCGGCAGTGGTGGCGTCGGGGAGCTGACAAAAGGTACCCTTGGTGCGGCCGCCTCGCCTTCTCACCTGGGGTTGTGGCTTAGGTTCAACGCGATCCAGGGGACGAAGCGGTACTTGTAACGGCGCCATCGCTGCCACAGGCCCCGCAGCAGGCGGCGCGGCATGGCTACCCCGCGGAGCCGTGACCAGGTCGGCGCGGGAGAGGCGGGTCGCGGTCTCGGGCCCGCCCCGGCCCGGGAGGAGCGGGGCCACGTTGCCCCGCCCCCCTCGGTTTCCGCCCTTAGAGTGCCTGGCACCGCCTGGCCTCTCTTGCTCGGGCTCCCGTCCTTCCCCTTTTTTGACCGCAGCCGGCTGAGCCAGAGGCGTGTAGAGCTGGAAGGAGGCCCCCGTTTTCCCTTGTTCTTTCTCGTGTGGTTTGAGTATTTTCGCGCGCGCACTCACACTAGCCTTGGCTGTGCGCAGAGGGTCTTAGGGCTTCAGAGGGCATCATGCCCTCGAGGAACGCAGCCTAGGAGTTGACCACCGAGTTTCTTTCTCAAGCCTTGCCCGGCCTCCCCCCTTGTGCAGGCTGCGCTCTGTGTTCCATCCTCCGTCCCTGCTCAGCTCTCGCTCTCTTCTTCGACGTTCTCCTCTCCCTTGCCTCTCAGCGGCCTGACTCTTCGTGAACAAGAGTTCCAGTCCTACCCTTAGACATCAGGGCCTTCTGCCAGACTGAACCCATGTTCCAAAAAGTTACCAATTTGGGACTTTTGCGAATGTATACTTGATATTTAAAAAAAGGGCGAGCACGGTGTCTCACGCCTGTAATCCCAGCATTTTAGGAGACCGAGGCCGGAGGATCGCTTGAGCCCAGGAGTTGGAGGTTACAGTGAGCTATGATCAGGCCACTGCACTCCAGCCTCCGCGACATAGCGAGATGCCCTGTTTTCACTCCAGTTTTTCTCTTCATTCTCCCAAACACTTAAAGGCAAGACTACATAGGCATCAGCAGAACAGAAAATGTGATGTATTTTATGCATGTGTTCTTGTTCTACAGAGAATGGAAATTGGAAGTCAAACACCCTTTGTATTCCAAAATAGGGTCTCAAACATTTTGTCATTTTCATTTAAATTGTTAGGAGGCTTGGAGCTATTAGTTAATCTGTCTTCCAATACACTGTTTAATATAGCACTGAATAAATGAGGCAAGTTGTCAATAGATGAAGCTCTGCTAGTAATTGATTTATTTTTCTTCAATAAAGTTGCATATAATGACGAATTGTCAAATTCTTTTTAAGATATGGGGCTATTCAAAATTTCTGTTTAATCTTATGTCTAGTTTGGTAAATTATATTTTTCACGGAATTTGTTCTTTTGTCTAAGTTGTCAAATTTCTTGATGTAAAGCTGTTAAATACTGTCTTACTATCCTTTTAATGTCTGTGTGATCTATAGTAGTGATCCACTTTCGTTCTTGATTTTGGTGATTTGTGTACTCTTTTCTTCATCAGTGTCATTGGGGGGTTTGTCAGTCTTCAAAGAAACAGCTCTTTTGACTTAATTTTCTCTGTTTATTTTCTATTTTGTTGATTTCTGTTCTTTATTATTTTATATTTTCTACTTACTGTGGGTTTATTTTGCTAGTTTCTTAAAGTAGAATATTAGATCGCTGATTTTAGTCTTTTCTTCTTTTCTAATAGAAGCATCTAAAGTTACAAATTTCCTTCCAAGCATTACTTTAGCCAAATCCCTGGATTTTTGATATTTTGTATTTTCATTATCTCTCAGTACAAAATATTTTAAAATTTTCTTTGTGATTTCTTTTGTTATCCATGGATTATTTAGAAGTGTGTTTTTAATTTCCAAATATTTGGGATTTCTAGATATCATAGTGTAATTGGTTTTTAATTTAATTCTGTTGTGGTCAGAAAACATGAATAATTTCAATTCTTTTAAATGTATCGACTTATTTTATGTCCCAGCATATGCTCTGTCTTGGTGAACATACCATATTCTGTGATCGTTGGGTTTAGTTTTCTGTAAATATTAATTAGGTCATGGTAGTTGATAGTGTCCTTAGATCATCTATGTCTTTAATGATTTACATAAAATTTTAAATACAAATGAATGAGGCACAACAGATTGGCAGACAATTTTGTAATGTACCATATAATTAGCAAGCAAAAGGTTAGCATTGGTAGGCATGGAGATGTGCTGCTGTCCAAAACTACCCTCTTCTTCTGACTCCTTTTTTCTACTGTTGTTTCCAGTTTCCCCAACTGTTTTACACAATTGAGGCTAAGAATGTGTGTGCTGTATTTTTCCATTTAAAGACCATTTATGCTATAAATCAAAAAAATATCATGTAGGAAAAATAATCTTTAACGTCAATGTCCTAAAAATCCACAAATAGGGCATGTGTCCCTGGATGGATTGTAACTTCTAGAGTTCAAAATAAGACATAACTCAATCTTTCAATAATTTATTGAGCTTCTACTATGTCCCGGGCTCTAAGTAAGATAAATACTTAGATACTAAGTAAACACATAAATAATGTCAGACAGCGATTAATGCCCTGAAGAAAATGAGGCAGGGCACTGAGAAGAGAGTGGGCTGGATATCTTACGGAGCCCCTCCAGAGCCACTGTCCACACCTGGGGGAGTGACCGATTTGCACATCATCAGAGTCCCTTGTCCTCCTGCTTTGATCAATGGGGCCTGTTGGCAGGATACTGCAGGGAGGGAGGAGAGAGAGGTGTGGGTCTCTGTGTACTGGCTGTATCCTGACCACAGGTTCTTTTCATATAGCCTTCTGGCTCTTCCTGCGTTTCTTTTAGGCTTAGGGATGGCAACAGCACTCCATTAGCTCTAGCTCCATGGTTTTGTGCCATTTTCTTGTGGTTTCCCTTTACCCTGTCCATGCCTTTATACCATTCTTCTCAAATTATCCTAATTTGTGTGTGTTCATCTGCTTCCTGCTGGGACCCCGGTGTCTTTATATGGGTCACCTGGAGCAGGAAAAGGGGTAGCAACTTTGGATAGGATGATGGCATGAATGACTGAGACCAAAATGACAAGAAGGCACCAAACTTCGGAAGATCCACAGGGAGAATCTCTAAATAGGAAGTGCAAAGGCACTGAGGTGGGGAGGAGCTTGACATGCTCAAGCAAGGGAAAAAAGGTCAGTGTGGCTGGAACATGCTAAGTTAGGGAAAGATGAAGTCAGGGAGAAAGGGAGGCGCCAAATCCCAGGGAGTTGGAATTCTTAGTGTGATGGGAAGCCATTAGAGGGATTGAGCAGAGGGGTGATAAGAACACTTTGTAAGAACACTTTGAGTATTATGTGGAGAACAGGTGGGCAATCACCACACCAGGAGGTTAAACAGGAAGCTAATACAGTAGTTCAGGCAGAGCCGGCGGGAGCTTAGACTAGGGTGGTAATGTGGAGATGAAGAGGGTGGATGGATCAGGATTATATTTTGGAGGAGGGACTGACAGGATTTGCTGATGGGTTGGATGTGGGAGGGTGAAGTTTTGAAATGCCTGTGAGAAATGTCAATTGACTGGTCGAATGTTTACATCTGGAGCTCTGAAGCCATAGCTCGGGATAGAATCAGAGTCTTCAGCCAGAGGAGTGGATGAGATCACCTGGGAAGAAAAAGGAGACGGCAAAGAACATAGATTGACAGTGACCACGGATCTCACCAAATGCAGACCCACCAGCCTGTGATGACTCGGTCAAAAGCAGCTTTGGTGATGGGTGTGAGTGTGTCTGAGTGTGTTGAGGAGAAAATGTGAGGTGAGGAAGGGGAAATAAGCGTACACATTTCTTTCAACAAATTTTTCTGAAAGGGAGACAGAGAAATGGAGTCAAAGGCAGAGAGGAATTTAGCTAAAAGATGCTACGGCATATTTCTATACTGACAGGAATGATCCAACACAGAGAAAGAAATTGTGTGTATATGTGTGTGTGTGTGTGTGTGTGTGTGTGCGTTAGGAGTCCAGCGGACAGAGAAAGGAGGCAGAACTTTGATTTCACAATTCTTTGCTGGAAGAGAGAGAATATTTAGAGACCGTGGATATTCTGTGGGCTATTTCAATAGCTATGTCATCTAATATGGGTAACGTAACTGGCAAATATTTATTCGCTGAGCACCATATGCCTAGGTATAGCTTCAGAAGATTACAGTCTAGCTGGGACAACATGTAATTCATAAAAACTAAATATTAATTACCGTGGGTTTTAGTGTGAGTTCCTGGAGATGGGGAGTGCTTCAAAGAGAAGGAAGTGGAAGTAAGTGGAAGGACAGGCACAGTAAGAAGCCAGCACTTCTCAAAATGTGGCCGGGGGACCCTGGGAGTCCCTAGGATCTTTTCTGGGGTCTACAAGGTCAAAATTATTTTCTTAATAATATAAAGACGTTATTTGTCTTTACCCCCTTTCTTTCACAAGGGTATAGTGTGGAGTTTTTCAGAGATTACATGCTGTGTGATAAGACCACAGATGGAACACAGAAGCAGATGTCAGAATCCAGCGGTCTTTTATTAAGCCAGAAATTAGATAGATTTGCAAAAATGTAAAAAATAACACTCTCCTCACTTTTTTAAGGGGGAGACATAGCTATATTTCATACAGATACGCTATCCAATTTAACATGTAATCAGTTTTTTATTATTTCTAATGAATTAATAAATATGTAAACATTGATCAGTTTTAATATTGATACAGTAAATATCAATAGCTATAAGCAACATAAACAAAAGCTCTTTGGGGACTTTTGATCATTTAAAAAAGTATAATGGGATCCGAAGACAAAAATGTTTGGGAAGCTGAGTGTTAGAACCATATATTGTGATTCAAAATTTTGAGAAGGAAAGTATGCGACAAGGCATTTCAGGAAATATTGAAAATACCAATTCTATGGATTACAGTAGTATGTTGCATATTGATGAAATTAGAACAAAGTATTTTTAAGTTTTTTTGTGCTACAGGACCTAAAATATTGCATAAAAAGGAGAAAAAATGGTCTCTGCCAGTTTTTGCGTGAATTAGCAAAAGCCACCTCTTCCTCCAGCCACTTTACTGCCATCTACTGCAAAAAAAAAAAAAAATTGTAACATATACAAATGTATTAGGACTCTGGTGTGCAAGATGTCCCTTATAGTTATGTAGTACACAGCTGACTGTGGCAGCCTTGAATGTCAGCTGGAAGGATTCTGTGGCAGCAGTCCTCAACTGCTCTGATACCAAAAAGTTTGAGAACCACTGGCGTGAGCAAAGGTGTAGAGGTGGGATAGAGCACAATGGGTTCAGAGAGCAAGAATATAATAATGATAGGAGCAGAACAGAAATTTTGTGTTAGGAATAAAAAATAAAGTTTTAGGCAGAATAAGGTCAGACCATTGGAAAACCTTGACTTTTGAGGTAGTATACAGTAGATAGTCGTTGAAAGTTCTTAAGTGGAATGCTAGCTGAAAATAGAGTTTGGGAAGCTCAGAGAAGCTGGTTGGCAGGATGCATGGATGGATATGGATGGATGGATGGATGGCCGGCCAGCTGAGAGC